ATAAACATATTGTAAAGATTAAGTATTGTTTTAATGGAACCACCAAGGTACACATCACAATCTGAAATGAATCCCTATCACATGATGGCTGACAAAGTGTCTCTGAATTTTCAGAACCAAAAACAGGCCGACACTGTTGTGGTTGATAAACCAGTAAGAGATGTCCCGCCCCTTAGCCTATCACGTGTCATGTGTTGGAGCGCTAGCCGATAGGAGCGCAAGTGTTACATAGTGATGTCATAATGTTACAGAAGTAAACAAAGGTACAAATGTGCACAACAACCTATATAACACACTACAGGAAAGAGAAAACCCCCCCAAAAAGCATAATACGTCATCTTTAAAATATAAATGGCACTGCTTTTGTCTTCATATACTGGACGAATGTCGTGTCATCCTAAACATCATGTATCGCAGTAGTAATCTGGACAGGGCGTGGGAGTTTTTACACTTTTATTCTAGGTGTTAACACCAAAAAGAGAAAACTTCATTTTAAGCCTCATTTTAGCTGCAGGATAACATACACTGTATGAGGTTCTACACGTAAAATATTTTATGATAAAGATGTATAAAGAAGAAGAATTTAAACATTTTGTAAGGCTTGTCTGATATGCAGATATGCTATGAAAGTGATCTGTTGATATTTCATGTATAGATGTAGATATATAATTATATAGGAATATAAAAGTTTTATTACTCATAAAAAGCACATGAATGAAAACCAGCCAGGTGATTATGTCCTCAGCTGGAGGACAGTACATATGGCCTGCACCTGAATGTGTGTGGAATATATTGCAGTGAGCAGACATCCGGTTTTTTCTGAGCAGACACACAGTGTCCTGATTCATCTCTGATGTTCTGCATATGTCCTGATTTCAGCTGCCAATCCTCCAAAAACACCAGCGCAGTACTATTTTTAAATGTATCCCTCACAGTCCCACCCACATATGGAACAACAGATTCAGAGCAGAGTTATGGGCCTGTAAATCTGCCACTCTCACCTGTTGTGCTGGTTGCCATGACAACAATGCAGCAATAAATGTTGGCCCATTCATCGCATACAGCGGTTTTTCCTTTAAGTTACCAAACAGGGTAACATCAGTAAAGCCTAATGGATGTTGTTTTACTGAAGAACTCCATCAAATGTACCTGTTTCTCCGTTTGGACTATTCTATAGCAAGACATCTCTTAACTCAACAACGTTTTAATGCTTGAACATATGTTTATTTTCTGTGATGGAAAAAATGTGGTCCCAGGTGTAGGCTACTGTGTGGTGAACTGAACACACACCTGAAATAATAAAACATCTGAAACTAGATTTGTAACCCTCTTCAAGGCACACAATTGGTTAACTGCTAATGTTAGCATTTTAGAGGTAAAGTCAGTTGATCACCAGTCTGCAGGGTTCCTCCTCTGAAAGTGAATACCAAACGTGATGCCAATCTTTCTCATTTATTCCAACATATCCCAGTCTGGACCAAAAATATATAAAACTTTACAACCCAGTCCTCCCTGTCAGCCCATGAGCTTGGCTTGGTTATTTATTGTGATATAGTAAATATTTTCACACATTCTGCAGTATATTAATCCTGGAGCATTAGGGCCACAGGGAGTTCCAAATCCAGCCTTGAGTAATGCCCTGTATGGAATGGCTCAGCTCGACTACAATCAGATAAACCCCCCCCAGTTTAGGCGGGATCAACAGCTGATCACTGCCACCTGACTCTGCCTTCACATCATATTCAATGTGATACTTGCTGAATCCTTTTATAGGCAATCAAAAAAGGAATGTACGAGTATGCACTCGGTCAAATGTATGGCAAAGGGTACCAAGTTATTTTTGTGGGCTGCAAATCTGGGTCAAGTGAAAAGAAATTCCAGCTGATTGTGAGGGTAACTTGGCTATTTACAGGTCATGGGTTTGTGCAGAATGTTACAAATTGTGTTTTAACCTAACCTTTAAATACTGCGTCATTTAACGCAGACGTTGTGGTGATACTTGGAAAACTACCCGGTACTATCTATAAAACTGAGCACAACAAGTTCAAAGAGACGTGTCGTACCATGCAGCTGAAATGCCACATATACGTCTAATTAGTCTTGTAATAGTAGTATACGTCCAAAACAAACCAAACCAAATACAGACAACGTTGACAAAAAACCCTTTGGACATTGAAGTGATTTTTTTATTCTGCAACAACAATAAAACCTAACATAAAATATGGACTAAACTTTGTGGCACCCACATTTTATATGAGATGACAAAGGTTGTTAGCTGGGTTCTTCCTACCCCGGAGTAGTGTAAATAGTCATTAGTAAATACAAAATGACAGATATTTACAAAGATACCAGCTGACATCAGCAGCTAATGGGAACATGGAAGGTTCCTGCCCCAGGAAGTCATGGATATTACGATGTTTGTCAAACAACCTTAATCTAAGCAGATCGATGCACTAATGAGAGGCACCATCCGCTTACAGCTGGTTGTGACGTACAGCCTGACAGACGGTAAACAAGCCAGAACTTCTAATTCAATCAATATTCCAGGCTGAAATGTGTGTCCAATAAAACACACATCCACATTTTATTGGTGCATGAAAATATCAAAATATAACTTCCCACAATATTTGCAAGGAGACAGTGCGGCCCATTGCTTAATGGATCAATTGATAAGGTACCACTTTGGCTACATTTCTTTATTCTCTGTAACTCTTGTTTTAAAAAAAGCAAACTTGTAGTTTATCACCTTCAATGAGCAGTAATTCAGGATATTACAATTAAGATTCATTCTTTAAAAATTTACATTTTCTAAGTTACCTCTCATGCATCTGGCCATGTATTCAGATTTAGTTGTATTTTCCTATTGATTGTAATGCTCTCACTGTACAGTACAATGGGGGTCAATTATATTTAGTTTGTAATGCTTCGAGCTTAAAGAAAAAGGCATTTGAAAAACACAAGAAAACATTTCTAGGAGCAATGTCACAGTCACAATTGAGTTTTTCAAAAGCCACAAAACAAAGTAACACCCACAGTGAAACCACATGGCTATGACTTTTACCATTCCTAATCCTCCATGACTTTTAGACGAAACAATTGTGACTTTGCTTCACTGGGATTTTTTTTTAACACCTAACCCATTGTAAAATAGCACTCTAAATTAGGCAGAGTAGCAGCGATGCTGTGCAAATAAAAGCGAATGTCATTTGTTTGCCTGGTACTCTAACAATACCATCATCCCTTATAAGTCAATTGCTAACTACGTCATGTTGACTTATTTCATGAAACAACAGACTGCTTTTTTAAAATCTTTTATAGATGTTTTGATTTTCCATAAACCTTGTTGAAGGGTTTAGCAAAATATCATGATCAAAGTTATTTATTACTTGTATTTATGCACATGAATCATTAGAAACATTGAATAAAACATACTTCTCCGGTGATAAGATGCTAAAATAGCCTCATTCATAGTGGCAGGAGTTTCTGTGAAATCCACACATATATGAAAAGAGTCCAGAAACCGGACATTTCTGAGCAGTGCTGCTGAGAACAAGCCCCCCCCTCCTACAACAGTGAGGAGGAGGGGGGGGGGGGGGGGGGGGGGTGGGGGGGGGGGGGGGGGGGGGGGGGTTGGTGAAGACCCATGGGTGAGATGAAAGAGACCCCTCACATAAACACGCTCAACAGATGTTGCTTTGCACGGATCTTATTACTCAGTCAAATGCATGTTTAGATGATCATCAAATCAAAATGTAACCCATTGTTTGTTTAAAATCGATACGGAAAGCTAAAGCACGCTTTTATTCAAAATGCTGATGAAGGATGTAATTGTGAGGTCGCTGGAAAAAGCTGCAGCTCCAAGGTGACGGCACACCATTCCAATTGTATGATTAATTCATCAAAAGTGATGTTCTGAGCAGCTCTAAAAATTAAACAAAACTCAATGATTCAGTGTAGGGTTTCAAGGAAAATCTCAAACAGAGTAAAACTACTGGGTGTTGTCGTGACAAGTGTTGTCAACAACATGGGCTTCAGCATGGAAGAGATTTCCCAGGAATGGTTTGATAAGGTCTGAACTCCTGGAGCGATAAAACATCAGCGTGCAGCTCGCAGGCAGAGTTCCAGGAAGGATAAATAAAGCATACATTTCAATAACAGCTAACCCACTTGGAACAAAAAGGACTGTTAGCATTAATTCTGTCCTCAGCGGGGAGTAGGATTCCCACTCTGCTGCCAGAACTGACAGCGGGATCATCCACACCTACACCATCATGTCTGGACAAGCATCAGTGTTCCGGATGAGAAGCACACTGGTTGCACAGACTTCAACAATAGAAGACATTTCAGACTTCAGATTTAAAGCCCCGAAGTATTACTTTTTTTGTGGTCATGGTAGAATTAATTGAAACAGGTTTTTTTTATTGATAAAAGCGCCACAGTGTCTGTTCTGAAAGTACATCTGGAGGTGCCAAAGTAACACCTTTTCCAATTCTACACATTTAGATTGCAATCTTAGCCTGATAACAGGACTGACTTGTCTTTTGCCTCACACTTCAAATATTCAGACTGACATTTGACTCGTATGTGTCCTTTGTATAAAAATGAGTGAAAAAGTGAGACAGATGATCAAGTATTACTGGATAAGCATCACGTTGATTGATTTATTATAGAGAATAGGATACCTTGTTCAAAGATGGTACCCCATTCATTCCTATGAAAAATGGCTCACCCTACAGAAGCCTGGTATGAATGTGTGAAATGATAAAAACTATGGATGATGGCGGTGTGGTTCACTGAACATCTCAGGTGGTGTGCATATTAAAACACTGGATCCAAAGGCTGTTTAACATTTTAATACAGTCAAGGCTGGTAGATGAATCGTGGATGGTAAAAGATGGATGTAGATAGATGATTTTTTTCTATAATAACATATTACAGGTCAGGTTTATGACAACAAAATAATCCTAAATAAGGCTGTCAAGCAGTTACATCATGAATGCATCCACAGAAATAAATTGCTGCCTTTTCCTCACAGAGGAAAACATAATTTGGGATCTAGCAAAACAAGTAACAAAAACAATCTGTTTATTCTGAAATCTAAATATTTTATGTCAAATATTCAAGGTACAAACAGGTGTAAAGTCCATGTGAAAACTCAGTCCTTTCCTTTGTTCTGCCTGCCGTTTTTGGAGGGAAAGAAAGGAGTGACAGGCCTGAAAGGGCGGGGTTATACAGGCTTGGAGTGGTCTATCTTGACCGCCTGGTGATGCAGGTAGAGAGGAGACTTGTGATTTTTAACAATAGTTGCTGAAAATGGGTTGCCCATTCTTCAATTTTGTGAAACCATAAGCAATTCCAACAATGTCCTATCCGTGTAAACCAGGGGCTAGTTTAACCATATTAAAGCATATACAAATTGACATTGGCTTTACGATGTGATATTCATCAATAAGTGGGGCAGCTTCAGCAAACAATGTATTTTTTATGGGCTAATCCTAAAGAGTAAAAACACATTTTAAATAAAGTAAAGGTGGATTCATACTTGTGCATTTAGGGTTAACAAAATACACACCTAGCTGACAGACACTCATCTGGCCTGATATTGTGCCACACAGTAGAGTGCTGAACACATAAGGTGTTGTACCATTTTCTTTTCGACCCATCAGATTCTGTTGGGAAATGCAATCATGTGTTTGTGTCTCCTTTAGTTTATGGCCTAAGTCAGGCAAGAACCAGTGTGTTTAGACATTAAAACTTTTATTGTGCTTTGCTATTAAACATAAAACTTTTTCTTTTTTTTTTAAAGTAAATTCAAGTGGGTTTCTGCAGGTCGGTCCAGCTCTCAGCTCATCTCGGGTAGTGGCACTCCACTCCAATGACAGCGCTCTGGCTCCTCACGATGGGACTCCTGCTGGACACTTTGGGGTTGTAGACCAGTGCAAAAGCATAAATGAAGGAATTCTCTCTCATCTAGAGAAGAAAGGGAACAATGGTTCACATTTCATGGCTGAAAGTGTAATATAGTGGTGGAAGAGGTATTCATATCCGTTACTTAATACTCTGTTGGTAGTCAAATTCCTGCATTCAAAGTATAAGTAAATATACAAAAGTATGGCAAGGTCAGTGGTAACACAAGCTAACAAACGTTCATGTTTGTTCTACGACATAAAAACACGTCAGTAAATACTGTGACTAAATGAGACTACTTAAAGTAATCACGCCAAACATTAGCCACCTTTAGCTTAGCAGCGAGGACAAGAAGTCATGAGACTTTAATGTAGTTAGTTTATTTGATAATGATAAAAAAAAACTCAAAATAAGGGTTTATTTATCAAAACTTACCCTAAAGTATTACTATTGCATTTACTATGCAGAATTGTTCTTTAAGAACATAATACACTGGATAATGAAAATTATGCATTAATGGTAACATTAGTCAGAGGTGGGAGAAGTATTCAGATCTTGTAGTTGAGTAAAAGTAGAAGTACCAGAGTGTAATACTCTGTTACAAGTAAAAGTCATGCATTCAAACTGTTACTCAAGTAAAAGTACAAAAGTATTAGCATCAAAATATACTTAAAGTACCAAAGTACTCATTCTGTAGATTGGCCTTTTTAGAATAATATACATCATATGTTTAGATTATAATTATTGATGGATTCATGCGTTTATCGCACCTGGTAAAGGTGCAGCTAGTTTGAATGACTTTGTATACTGCAGGGTAGCTTGTGTATTTACTCCAGGTTTAACTAAAGTCTAATATAAGAGTTGATTATATTTCATGTTATTAATCCAAATGTGTAAAGTAACTAAAGGTTGTAGCGGGGTAGAAATACATACTTGAGTAAAGGTACTTAGTTACTTCCCATCTCTAAGAATAGTTTCAAACTGCCTCCGGTAAAGGTGGACCTAATCAATGCACTTTATGAATAAAAACGTCATACCACTAGTGTGCTGCCACAGCCGTGCAGCTCACTCTCAAAGGCGAGCACATGAGCCAAGTTGTCGACCTCAGTGGCTGAACAACCACCGAGGGTGATCTCCTCCGGCTTTATCAGCCTGCCCCGGCCCAGCAGGTCCTGGCTCACCTCCACCTGGACCCTGCTCTCCCCACACCTCACTGCAATACGGTTGGTGTTCACCGGCTGCCTGGGTGAAAAGTTCACAGGGGCCTTTCTCACAGTTTCCACTGGATCCTTAGGAAACCTCCAGGAGAGAGTTTGTTCTCCTGGCTGGATCTGCTTTGCCTGCAGGCTGTCAGCGTGCTGAACAGACTCCCTGGAGTGCTCTCTCTCAGGTTCTGGCTCTATTTCCATTTCAACTCCAAAGTAGGTTGGCCTGCTCAAACTCAGGAATCTAGCGCCACTAAGCCCGACACAGGCAAGAACAAAGCCAAACACCAAAAGCTGCCAGGAACCCATTTTGTTAGAAACACAGAATTTCCTCTGCAGCTTTCTTAAGCATGAACACTGAAGCAGACAAAGGGAGGGAGGCCTCGGCTAATGAGCTGGAACTCTTTGCACCTGTGTGGATCTCACAGCTGCACCACCCTCACTAATTGGAGACAGGAAGTGCAATTAACAGAGGTGTGGAGCAGAAAATAGACAATGAAAAGGCTTTGCACAGTGGCTGTATCTTAGCCTGTAAGGTTTATCCGAGGCATAATCATTTTTCATCAATTACTTGGTGAAAAAAAAAAAAAAAAAGACAAAGCTTAAGAATTTGATAGTTTTAAAAATGTATGAATCAAGTGGTTAAAATACCCAAGCATGTTTTCAAGTACTGTTGTCATAGTGAGATTACTGTACTGAATTTCCTTTTATTATATGTTACTTTGGACTTTTACTATATTTCATAACATATTGTAATTTAACTTTGACAGCTATAGTTACGGGTTACAGATTGTATGTACTAAACATGAGTGGATTTTAATATAATAGCACTACAACTAACCATTTACATTTTTTTAATCATCCAATTAATTGAATGTAATTCATTCTTGAGGTTATTCTCCAACTTTATCCAATGCTGAATTAATCCAAGATAAAAGTAATGTTTGAAATATTTTAAGATAATTCCATCATTTATCTTCTAGCTGTGTTTTTTGTGATAGTAATAGTTGTATTCCTTTACACTCATAAGCAAAATCCAAGTCTGTTTAATTCAGCAATTTGAAATGGAATGCAGCCACATCAGGTAATGTGGAGAACACAGATGGAAACCAAACAAATGTTTGGGTAAAAAAAAATAAAGTGTTGCTCTAGTAAACCCTGATGATTTCATGATATGTGTCAGTTAAATGAAGTTGTATTAACAACATTAAGCCTCATTATAAAGATGTCCATTGCTGTGTGTTGCTTTATGGGACATCCTGCGGCTGTCTCTCCACAGGTTGCTCTCTTGTTCTCTGTTTATCTTTGGTGACGGCACGTCGGAGGCCTGAAGGAACGCACCGTTTCAAGGTCGGGTGAGTGGTTACCATAGCAACGGTACCTGAGAAATGAAAGTCATTCAAGGATTGCAGGACGCTGTGATTTACTGGAGGGTGAACTGGATTATGTGAAGGGGAAAGAGTCATTTTTCTCATAATACTTTATAATTATATCTTTTACTAAATACACAATATTTGTATTACATCAACAGTTAGTTTGTTGTTAAAGCATGAGCAAAAAGTACATCGGCTCTACTTGAATAATTTCTTCCAGTGTGAACCTATATGGAAGCCAAAGGTGGACAATATTTTATGAATACATTTATAAAGTAAAATACATAACTGAGTTGTTTTTCCTATTCCCGACCTCGCACCTTTCAGGCTATCACAAGACAAAACATCATTTTTTTGGGGGTGGAAATCAGAAAAAAATATATTTCTCTAACAATATTTTTAAGCATTAAATTGGAGTCTTGTTTCTATTCATATGGTAAATATATCTGCTTTTTTTCTCTCTTTACTAAAATCCACTGTGTTCACAAGAGTTGCTCTTTTTTCTGTCTGTCATTTGCGGTGTGAAATGTCTTTTTAGAACTTTATATATATATATTTATATACTGAAAACAGCTGTCTGTTGCTGCTGGAAACCACACTGATGAGAGTGGTTAGAGTGAATAAAAAGAGTCAATCTGCAGCCCTTAAAACCAAGACAACGATCTTAAAAAGCCAGAAATCTCTGTAGAACTGCAGACTACTGCAGGTTCATCACTACAGCTGTAATATAAGAAATCCATTGTGAAAAATAAAACCTTGGAAAATGCAGCTTTAACACATTTCATTTGTATCGTAACAGTTACTACCAAAACAATGCAGATGTTAAATAGTGTGTAGTCCATGTGTCGTTTCCATATGAAAAACTGTTGATTTATGGTGTTTTCCATTTAATCCCATAGACACCTGTTTGATTTACACTCAGCTAGTGTTTACAATAAACTCTATACTTTAGTTTTTTGTTGAATTTTTTTACAGTAATGTCCATTTGTTTACTATTTGATCAAGCCTGTAACAAAAAGATGCTGTTATAATTAATGTTAAAAAAAACATATAACACAATAACATATTTTTGCATAATGATCAACTATAAAAAGATGTATTATGGCATAGTGTCCTTAAATCCTTGAATGTACAATTGATATATAACACAAGTAGGTGCATGCAAACCACTGCATATAGGATCATTATAACTATTTTTACATATTTTGGTTATAAACCATAATGCATTGAGGGCCATTGCAGTTTTAGACCCCCATTCAAGTCAATACATTAAGCTCAATTTTTTTGTATGTTAATTGCCATTTCTGTATTTAGAGCCACTATGCATTTCCCCCCAGAAATGCTTTCCATATTGTTTCATTACATATTTTGGAGGTCAACAGTCCATCAGGGAAAGTGGGTTGGGGGGGGGGGGGGGGGCAGCAGCATCATGTATAGCTACATTTCTCACCGCTGCCCCGGGGAGAGCATGCCTGTCCCTGAATAACAAATCAGGCTTATTGATGAACAGAGGGCATCAGGGTCACCATGGAAACAAGAGCAGCAGGAGCCATTCCAGTCAGTGACCGTATTAAATCAGGCCCTCTCCTTTTTCAACCCTTTTTCATGGTCAAATTAAAACATTTGAAGAATTTTCACAGTGAGTAATGGAGTGTGTACATGTTCTGCTTTGATGTTTTTGAAGCAAAAACAAATTCTGTGGATCTGTAAATAAATCACCTCCTAATCAAAATTAGCCACACTAGCCAAAAACTCGACTTCAAACCAGCTGAAGGTATCTGAATGGACACACACACACACACACACACACACACACACACACACACACACACACCAAAAGTCCATTACAAATGCATGCAAACATGTGTTCACCTTCACGCCTCTTGAATTGATGTCAAGATTTCAAAGGTTCATCTTCAAAGGTGTAATCTTTGCATCATTCATGAGACATTAGAAAAAAGACAGGAGATAGGAGAAGCACTGCACCTCACATGTTTTACACTAAACCTGTATGATTAGCAGAGTGAATGATGTGTGTGAAGGGATATCCTTTTCCAAAGGCGCAGTGTGGCTGAGGAATGGTTTTGGAAAGCTGACTGCCAGCAGAGATCAGTCAGCCAGCTGCCGGGCTGAAGGCTTTTTGGCACTCTGGTTTATGTGTAGAGGACACATGAAGGCAAGCCTCTGCAAAAGTAAACCTCACAGTCCAGCAGGAACAACGCACTGAAACTACGGCACAGTGTTCACAAGCTTCTCCTGCATGAGTCATCTGCAAAGAGAACATATCGCAACAGGTCAGGAAGCGGGAGTCCTGTCCAACCTGCTGATGTGGACAATAAAATGACATCCTGTGTCAGTCAGCTTCATCTAGGAATACAACTAGACTACATGCACTGGGGCATTTCCATAAGAGAACATGTTTTCTTGTTTCTCTAAATAAAAACTTACTTATCCTACTACTTGGAAAAACAGCAGTAGAAATTGATTTCATTAAGAGATAATAACCATGTGAACTATGGAATGCTAAACTTAACCATTGTATTTAAAAAACATGTCCATATCTCTGACAATAGATTGGAAAAAGGGCAGAGGTTTACCAGACAAAACCTTTCACTTCGGGTAGAAATGAAACACTTGTATTCTCACCTGATGGATCCAAGGCTGTTCTCTATCATTGGTTCTGACCCCAGTGTGTACACCAGAGGATTTTTTGTGATGTGTGACTTTTCCTGATATCTCAAACCTGTAGGATCTGTAACAGCACGGACCATCTGCCTTGAGCAATGGCGGCCTGTAATTGGAACAAATGAAGTGTCATTCAGTTCATTAGGACTGGATTCAGATCAAAGCACAGTACTGTGACTGCCAGTCTGAAAGTCTTAGACGATATTAAGGCTGCTTTGGATAAGAAATCAGTTTGTGTTGCATTGTTTATTGACCTAGCCAAAGCATTTGACACTGTAGATCACCACATTATGTCTAATGTTATGTTGGTGTCTCGTTTCGGTCACAATGCCATTTGCTGGTTTCAGAGTTATCTAACCGACCGTACTCAATGCGTCAGGTTGGGTAGTACGGTCTCTGACCCTGTCACCTTGGAGAAGGGAGTTCCACAGGGCTCTATCTTGGGGCCCTTGCTCTTTTCATTATATGTAAACAATATTTGTAATCAGATGCAATTTTCTACCTATCATATGTATGCTGATGACACTATTGTATACTCGTGTGCTCCTTCTCTGGATATGGCCGTTTCCAATTTAAAATCAGATTTTATCACGCTGCAGCATGCGCTTCTTGATTCTAAACTGCTATTGAACAGTAAGAAAACCAAAGCAATGCTTTTTGCTCCCAAGTCAGCGTCCTCCTCTTGCCTCTCCATTGACACCCTTGATGGCGTTTCTGTTGAATTTGTTGATACCTACAAATATCTGGGCTTTTGGTTGGACAGTAATCTGAACTTTAAACACCATATTGAAGTTTTAACAAAGAAATTGAAATTCACTCTTGGCTTCCTTTTCAGATTTAAATGTTGTTTTTCAATTTCATCCCGTAAAAGGTTGGTCTCTGGCTTATTCCTGTCCCAGCTGGACTACGGTGATACCATTTATAGATTTGCCTGTCCCACTGTTTTGGCCAAACTTGACCCACTTTACCATGCTGCACTGCGTTATATATCAAATGCACCCTATAGGACTCATCATTGCACATTGTATAGCCTAACTGGATGGTCCTCACTTACTATGCGTAGGATGCAGCACTGGTTTTTATTAATGTATAAAGCCATTTTAGGTAAGCTTCCACTCTACATATGTGTCAGATTTGCTCCAGTTTGTGACTCTTACAAACTCAGATCCAGTGCCTGGATACGGTTCCAGGTTCCTGCTGTGCGGACTGAGGCTGGAAAAAGGAGTCTTTCTTATTATGGTCCTTGGTCTTGGAATGACCTTCAATCACGCCTTAAACTGAGGGCACTTGTCTCTATTTCATGTTTTAAATTGAAGTTGTCTGAA